TGAGAATGGTTTCATGCAGTCCTGGTGGCCATGGGAGAGTCCTGTGGCAGGTGGAGGAATGAAGGGGGGGGCAGGTACGGACAGTAGGTGTGTCTTGTAAGAGGTGAAGAAACAGGTTGTAGAGCAGACACCAGATAGGTTTGAAAGAAACATTTTGTCATTGTGATTTTCATTTGTTGGTTTTAAGGTGGAGGAATCGTATACATGATTGAATGTGGGAAGTAGCAGGTGGAGAAATGTTGAAAAGCCAGGAGAGGAGGGAAGACCAACCCACCCAGACCCAGTGGAGTTCATGTGGAGGTGATAATTATAACTAAGAGGAAAACATCACTTCCATAATGCTAGAAGGGAAAGAGGTAATTGTGAGTGGAGGTGCACTTAAGTTAGATTTGTGTTTAGATGGGTTTTTGGTGTAGACCAGTGTGTGTTTGTGCATAAAAAGGACTACTAATGGGGCGCCTGGGTGGCTCAGTTCGTTGAGTGTTCCACTCTTGATTTCGGCTCAGGTTGTGATCTCAGGGCCCTGGGATCAAGCCCTACGTCAGGCTCCGCACTCAGTGGGGAGTCTGCTGGAGATTCTCTTCCTCTCTCCCTTTCCCTCTGCCCCTCCCCATCTCTCTCTCTCTCTCTCAAATAAATAAATCTTTTTAAAAAACTAAAAAATAAAAAAGACTACTTGGACTTTTAATTTGGTTTAAACAATTAGTGTTCAATGTATTAAGGTTATAAATTCAAAAATGCAATTCTTCCTAGGCTTTATATTCATCTCACAAATCTTACTCTATTTGGAAGTCTAGCAAAATTGAACAGGCACTTTCAAGGGACTTTTGATGAATGCTTGGTCCTTTTTACCAACTTAAGTACGTTCAAATACTTTAAAACTGTGTCTATATGAATGTAATGTATTCCATTTTCTTTTTTAAGCACCTCATTTATCTACTCAAACAAAACCTTGCTGAGTGCATAGGAAGTATTATAAACCTATTAAATGAAATTATAGAGTGGACCTAAAGATTTGTTAGATGTTATAATACCATGCATAAACTTAGGAAGATTTCAACTTAAAATCAGAAGTCTAATCATTTGGGGTGCCTTGGTGGCTCGGTTGGTTAAGCCACTGCCTTTGGTTCAGATCATGATGCTGGGGTCCTGGGATCGAGCCCCGCATCAGGCTCCCTGCTCTGTGGGGGAGTCTGCTTCTCCCTTTCCCTCTTTCTCCGCTCCCCCTGCTTGTGCTCTCTCTCACTCTGTCAAATAAATAAATAAAATCTTTTTTTATAAAAGTCTAATCATTCAATTATTCACTTTAAATTGTTTTTTTTTAAGTTTCACTTTAGTTTCTTAAACAATAGTGCAGAAAAGACCAAATATGCATAAAAATATTAATAGCCTGATGTTGATGCTTTAAACCTTTCTATATTTAATTTTAAATATTCCCAGAGTGGAATGATACATACTCACCAAGGAAGAAAATTACTTGGAAATAACTGAGGCCATTTTCAAGCAAATATTTTGACAGAACTGCAGGCATCCAGAGTGATTTCCATCTCCCTGAATGTCACACTGAGCCCCTTTTTAGAGCAGTTATGTCATGAGTAACAAAACTTAAAAAGGGTTTGGTCTCTCAGATGTGAGCTGTGGACAGTACCTGATTCTTGATCTACTCAAGGACATAGGACAACCAGGTTGATCTTTGATCTTTTACGACAGGTACTTTCATTTCCATCTAAATGTCAAAGGCCTTCAAATTTAATGTAATTCTAACATTTGTACATTTTTTCTATCTAATGATACATGTAAATTTGATAGGCTAAAATAAGTTAATGTATTTTCCATTTAATGATAAAGACCTTTAAATGGGACACCAGATATGTACATATCTTTTCTATTTAAAGAACTTTGAACTTGATGGAATCCTGCATTCTTCATATTCTTAGGACCACAGAATAGTTGCAGACGTTTAAATGATCTTCAGCTGAGTTTTGGATATCCCTCTTGATCAAGCCAAGTCTGATTTGCTCTTGTGAAATGAGGTCATTCTTCTGAGAGCTTATGAGGAGGGACAGGAGGTTAAGAGTTCCCATCTGGTGGTCTCTGTTTTCTCAGCAAATTCTTATGTGAAGCTGTCTGTTAAAGGAGGTGGGGGTCACATGGGATGAGGATGAGAAAAAAAAGTTTTAAAATAACCATATTTGATAATGAAAGATCTGAGTAGATCCATGCTGCCTACTTTATAGACTCATAAGTGTGTAACATTAAAGCCATTTAAAGCGGAGACAATACTCAAGATGAGAATTCATGTTGAATAGTTAGTTTATATGGTTTTTATATTAAATGTGCACATTTAGTCATTTGAGTGTTTGCCATTGATAACGAATATTCTTTGTAGCTGATCACGAGGTCACAGCTCAATGTCAAAGGAGCTTTATTAATAAAGCAATTGAAGCAGTAATTTATACTGCAAAAAGTTCTAGACTCATTTAACATTTATTTTCATTTGCTAGTCAATTACCAGCTGTCAGAGTATATTAACTATTACAAATTTGAATCAGAAGCTGTCACCCCTAAGTGTATTAACTCTCCCTAATCACATAGGTAGTGATTTGTCCTGTGAAAGAATGATATTAATCACCAACTTACATCTGTCTTCATGATGGTATAAAATTGCCACTGGCTTCCATTGCAGAAGTGAAGTAAATCAATGTAGACACCAAAAATGAAAGCAGACAGTCATGAATCATGAGTATTTCCATTCGTGTTAACAAGCTCCTCATTGTTTCCAGACAGAAATAAATGTCAGCCAACTTTCAAAGCTTTTTGCTTCTTAGTGTTAAAAATATAGTTGTTTTTTATTATTTTTATTATTATTATTTATTATTATTATTATTATTACTAGTTAACATTGGTGGAGTATTTATTATGTGCCAGGCACTATGCTCAAAGCTTTATATGAATTATTTCTTTTAATATTCACAATAACCCTGTGAGATTATTGGTTCTTATATTTATGGTTCTTATGCTACCATATCTCATTTTGTAAGGGTAAACCATGTCTCGAAAGACTTGAATAACTTGTCCAAAATGGCAGAGCCTAGAGTCCAACCCAAGCAATTTAATTCCATAACCTTTTCTCTTGACCAGTATTCTACACTGATGGTTGGTGTTACATATTTACTAGGTGAATCAGTTAAGAATGCATTTGGGTACAAAGAACTAAAATCCAACATAGAGTAGTTGACCAAATAGCAACTTATTTTTTTTCTCACTTAACAGAAAGAATGAAGACAGTCAACCACTCACATTGGTTTAGTAGCTCAACGGTACCAGGACCAGTGACTCTGTGATTCCCTGGCCTTTCCATCATGGCTGCAAAAATGGCTGTTTCAGTCTCAAGCATCATATTCACATTTAGGGCAGAAAAAAAGGATGGTGGGAAGAGTTGGCACCAGCCATAAGTGTGTAGTTTATCATGAAAGCAAAAGCCTTCCCATGTGTATCTCACTGGCCCAAACTATTTGACATGACCACCCTCATCTGCAAAGGTAGAAGGCAGCAGGGAGAAGGGAAGGGTGCTGAGTGATGGACCAGCCTTGGGTCAAAAGTTATAGAAGCCACAAACTCTGTAGGAATATTTCACTGAACTTCTATTTTTTTTTTTTTTTTTTGAGGAAAGAGCTGTGATTCTCCAGCACCTAATGTACTACTCTTAATGTATTTTTACCTCATTTTCTAGAATGTATTCCTAGATAATAAGGGAAAGCTATAGTTCCACTAACTGAGTCAGGGCTGCTTGGTTGCAAGAAACTATTATATTACTTAAGAAAATAGGTGAATTTCAGTAATTTATTCAACAAATAAATGTATTAAACACTTATTATATGCCATGTACTCTTCTAGGCTCTGGGGATACATCAGTGAACAAAACATTTAAAAAAGAAACAGACAGACTCATTGACTATGCTGTAATCTCATGGAACCCAAGGATGTAATAGGGCCTTGAGGAGGGACAGGAACCAGGGGCTGAGAAGCTGTCAGGAATTCAACAACTTTTCTGAGTATATCTCCTTCATTCTGCTCACTCGGATTTCTCTTAATCCTTAGTCGGCATGACGGATAGAATATGGTCACCCTACGTTGCCTGAGTTTTCATCTTCTATTCAAAGCAACCAACTCAAGCTAAACCAGAGTCTCTCAATCTCAATCCAAATACTTAGGCAGAAGAATGTGAACCCACAGAGCCCAGGGACAGTGAAAGACACATTGAAAGGATCTACCTTGGGGCGCCTGGGTGGCTCAGTCGGTTGAGCATCCGACTTGATTTCACCTCAGGTTGTGATCTCAGGGTTGTGAGATCGAGCCCGGTGTCGGGCTCCACACTCAACGTCGAGTCTGTTTAAGACTCTCTATCCCTCTGCCCCTCCCCCGCCATCTCTCTCTCTCTCAAAATAAATAAGTCTTTAAAAAAAAAAAAAAAGATGTCTACCTCAAAAGGCAACCTGTTGCTGCTACCCATCCCCAGGCTTATTGGTGCTTTTCTAGACACTCTACCTGTCATCCATCAGAGCTCCCTCGTATCACCCCAGAGATTTGAAAGTTACCTCTGCCTGGAAGAGAACATTTGTTTAGCTATGTTAAAGTTGCCAGAGTTTTGAACTTTTTCAAATCACTTTGTGCCCTAATGTACTAAATGTTTTCCCCCTACAGCCCTTGTCCCTGTCTTCCAGACAAGGGGACATTTGGGTCTTTGTTAACATCAAACTCCCTTCCTCTCACTTCAGGCCGAGCCTGCAGAAGCCAACACCACTACTAATCAATTTTGTTCCAAAGTGCACGTTGAAATGTGGGTTAGTATATTCTTTTATGGCCCTTATGAACTTTAAGCCAGGGAGATATGATTCCTGGTGATTTTTTTTAAAACCTTTTTGTTTCAAACCAATGGGTGTTTTTTCATTCCTGCATATACTGAATTGCTAACCTTCTGCTAATCTGTTTTTCTACAGGTTGTGGATTCGCCTTCCCATGGAGGGGGATGGGCAGGCTGGGGCTCCTGGGGCAAATCTCTGCTCTCATCAGCATCTGCTACAGTAGGTAAGAATTATATGTTGTATTTGAATGGATAAAGTTCAGAAGGCTAATAATAGCATTTGACATTTTGATCATACCACGTACTGATAGAGGCTACCATTAGCCGGCGAGATAATAAGAGCAAATCATTTTTAGTGCTTGCTGTTCTAAGTGCTTTGTGTATATTGATACATTTATTCCTCAAAATAACCCTAGAAACAGGTATTTTTGCTTTCTGCATTTTAGAGATAAAGAAGGTGGATCACAGAGAAGCTAAGACCTTGTCCAAAGTCAGAAGTAGTTGGGTTGAGATTTGAACCAAGTAGTATAGGTTTAACCACGATATTATACTGACCTTAAAATATAAGATTTGAGGTCTTATATTCTTAAAGTGTTGTACTTGTCCTCCCACCTGAATGTTTAAAATATGCAACTAACCTACTCCCTGAAAGGATTTGAGGTATTTCAATAAAATATGCAGGTACAAAGGATATAGAATATATACCCCAAGGCTGGTAGAGTTACTGTAATTGAGCACTGACCTTGACTCTGAGTGTCTTGGCTGCCAGTAGATTATCAATTTTTCATGGAATGATAAACCAAAACTTAGTTTATCTAGATAAATTTCTTTTCCTGGTGTTACATTTTTGAAGACATTTCTTGTATTGGCTCTGTATATACAAAGAGAAAATACAGTGGGCAATGTCTTCATCGGTATAGGTTTGTGAAAATATTCTTCATGTGACCCTTTCTCATGGGCATTCTTTGTGAAAACTGAAGGTGTAACATCAACATGTCTAAGCTGATTTAGCAAGGGCATTTCATCTTGAAGGTGGAGAGCGGGGAGAGGGATAGGGGAAGCCGCAGGTAACATAGCTTTCAGATCATCCAAGTCAGGTATACTCGAGGTGTAGTCCATGGCTGTTACTCCTAAAAGTGGGAGGGATAAGAAGGCTGAAGGTCCTTTGTCCCACTCCAATGGACCATGCTCACAGTCTAAGGGCCAGATATCTAATTGGATAGACTACCTGCAAGAATGGGTAGACTACATTCCTCTATTTCGTGTCTGGAATGTCAGGGAGCTCTGGCAAGGAGATGGTGGTCAAATAATGTTGGTCTTTGGGGAGACCCTGGAGAGCAGATTTTTTCTGTTGCTAATTGAAGGGGCCAGGGTGCTGTGGATACTACCTATGCAGATGGAAAAATCAGCCAAGTTACAGGAGAGGGGCCTGTTTTGTGTTCTGAACAGGACAGAGTCTCTGCAATAGTGAAGATACGTGCCTGGAGGCATCCTGCTTCCTAAGGAAAACATTTGAGCTCTTAGTGGGTGTCACATGGATCTTGCCACCCATAGCATGTAGGAGTGACATGCTTTCTGACCCCAAAACTGTGGAGTCCAAAAGTTTTTGACATTTGATAACTCATAGAACAGTAAATAATATGGTTGCCAAATTATACAGCTCTCCTCGTGGTCTATGTCATAAAACGTGAAGTATTTTGGGTGCTTCCAGGAGTAATAATGGTGTCCAGAAATGTCCTGGCCTATAATGAATTTGGTGCTTCGAAAAGTTCTATTATAGACAAAGGATTTACTTTCTCATTAAAAAGTTAAATATAAGTTCCTTCCCCAGTAAACACTGAAATCACCTGCCCCGTGGGTCGCAGGTCAGGTGCTTTGGGTACACTTACAGGTGCCCCTACCTGGACATGGTCTGCCATGAGCTCATGTGTTTGCTATTGTTTCTCATCAGTCAGCAGCTACACCTAACCATTTGACTTCAAGCTTCACTGGATGCTTACAAAGTTTTCCGTCCACCAACCGACAGCTTGTCTGTTAAATTTACCATCCATTATGTTCTCAGGTGTCCTGTTGTAATCTGGCCTTTGCACAGAGAGAGCCCGGTGTGGCCGTGGCCAGTGGACTGAATTCCACGGCCTTTGGGTTTTGTTACCTGGTTCAAGTGTAACCAGTAGATGGTGCTAGATTTACTGCTTAAAAAGCGGGATGTGATTCCTGTGGCGGGTCCACCTCATCGTGGGGGGCACTCATCTTTTAATTTGATCTGAAGTCAGTGTGTTAATCTTATAGGCTGTCTTTGCATTTGCTGTTACTCTTGAAGTTTCCCTGTGTCTAAGGCACCATGAAGATGAGAAATGCTGGATCTTGTTAATGTTGTGACCACTTAAAATGTCTGGTGGTTCTTCCCTAGCTTTGTGCAGTAATTGATCCGGAATAACCTAGAGAGATGACTGTTGTGGACCAGCAGGATCACTGTGCCAGTCACTGGTGCCATATTCCCTTCTATGGTCGGTGCAGATAGACCGTTTCTAAGATTGTATGACATTTGCACATCGCCCCATAAAATATCAGAATGAAGTTCAGTACAACCTCTGGTATTGGTTGCTATTGCTGTATAACACATTACCACAAAGTTAGAGGCTTACAATAATAGACATTGACTATCTCCGGTTCCGTGCATCAGGAGTTCAGGTAGGGGACAGCTGGGTTCCTTGCCGAGTGACTTACCAGGCTGAGATCAGGGTGTCAGCCAGCTGTGTTCTCGTGTGGCATCCAGGGTCATCTTCCGAGGTTATTCAAGTTGTTGGCAAAATCCAATTCCTTGAGGTTGTAGGATTGGCACCCCCATTGTCTTGCTGGTTGTTGGCCAGGGGTCACTCGCAGCTCCTACAGGCTGCCTGCTTCAAAGGATAATCTCACCCATGCTTCAGATCTCTCCCTGCAGGAAGGGCCTCATCCCTTTTAAAGTTCACCTGAGAAATCAGGCACCCCCAGGATGATCTCCTTTGACAGACTCAAATTCAACAGACTAAGGACCTTAATTATAACTGAAAAATCCCTTCACATTTGCCATATAATGTCCCCTAATCATGGGAGTGAAATCCCACGATTTTCGCAATCCTGCCCACGCTCCAAGGGGAGGGGATTACCCTGGGTGTATACACTAGGGGGCACTCTCTCAAAACTACCTACCACACTTCCCTCTTATGTTTGAAATCCTCAGTTATCCCATTAAGTCCAGAAGCTTACTTTTTTTATGGCTCTAGCTACATGCTGGAATTTTTAGAAGTATTTAAATCTTGGCATTTTTCTCTTATCTGCACCCACAATGTCCAAAGGGCACATGAGAGAGCTCAAAGAAATTTTGAAATGTTGATGCCTATTCTAAGAATCCTATTAGACAAATTGGAGCTATCTTTAGAAAAGTAGAGTGGAAACTTTTTCCTCACCATTGGGTATCACAACCCCAATTAATGCAAAAGCAATAACCCCGATTACCCTCCGTAAGTTGCTCCTGAGGCATTATTTTGGAGACTTCTGGTCAAGACATGTGTGTCTTAGCAATAGTAGCCAAAATAATAGCAATACACACTTTAAAACTGGGTAAGGATCTCTCTGTGGACATGAGAGAGAACTAAAGCTTGTAGCGTAAGGGGGGGCTGAAGTTACAGGTTCCAAGGCTGAAAACGTTGGTAGTGGTTGGGAGTTGACTCCCCAAAAGATAATAGGGATTGCAAGCATCCCACAAATGGAGAGGTGCCACAGCCAAGCTCACAGCCTGAAACAGAGGGTTGGAATAGGGTTTACAAAGTTATGGGTGCCATCCTGGGTTGTCACCCATATCAAGCTGCTACCCAGGGATGGAGAGAAGCAAGCCAGGCACAGCTTCTGTTACGTACAGCCAGAACATCTGCCCAAGACTTTGCAGCACTAATAGGTTATTATCATAGGGCAAAGAAACATATTTGAAAACAGAGCACTCACAGCAGTAGATGAGCTCTTGAAGGTTTATAAATTGCCTGTGGAAAACAAAGAAAGAAAATAACCACATATTCCATCTCAATTGATTCCGGCTCAGAAACCTCATGTTACCCCCATGGTAATTCCGGTTGCAGACAGGAATGCAAAACACCTAGTCAGTAACAAAACACAGAGCTGTCAACTGAGCACCAGAAATAGAAACCAATACTTTTATTATTATTATCATTATTATGTTAGTCACCATACATTACATCATCAGTCTTTGATGTAGTTGTTCCATGATTCATTGTTTGTGTACAACACCCAGTGCTCCATGCAGAACGTGCCCTCTTTAATACCCATCACCAGGCTAACCCATCCTCCCACCCGAAACCTTCTTACACTTGTTGAAAAACTGCAGTCACAGTAGTTCAAGCTGTGCGGAGTTAGCAGGAGAGCACTTGGAGAATTGAAACATTTTGGAAGTTAGTTCTCTCGGAAAGAGCACTGGACCAGGAGTCATAAAAGACCTGAGGCCTATCCTCACTGCTACTACTGTGTGATCACAGAGGATGGTGACTAACCAGCAACACCATGCACCTAACCTCTTTCAGACTCGGATTCCTTATTTGGAAAAGTGTGGGTGGGGGAAGTTGAGAAATTCTAAGATTCCTTCCAATTTCCGTAACATGATGATGATTCCATAGTCTGTGGCTATATATAGAAGGAAAAATATATTTATAAACCCCTGTGCTAAACGGGAAAATACAAAAAACTGATTGACTTTTTGCTGCTCTGTATTTTTGTATTTTGTCTTTTTGCCTTACTACTTTGACCCCAAGGTTAAGGGAAGATGAGAAAAAGTGTCCTCCCCACTGCTTGTATGAAATCAAAGTTCTCAGCCAACAAATATTTTTGGAGACACTGTAACTCTTGCATTAGCTTCATCCACAGCTACGCTGTCATCACATTCTAAGAAAACTTGATCACCTGCCGCCCCTGCCTTTCTTTGGGCAAGTTCATAAAGTGAAATTAAAATGGTTATTATTTAAGATCCAGGCAGAAACCAGCATGGGAAAGGAAAATATAAAAAAAATTATTATTTTGATGATCATGTCAAAGTGATGCTGTAAGAACCAGATGTGGTTTCCCACCAGCATCTTAGAGACTGACTTATTCCTAGACTATATTGCTAAGCTAAATGATAGATAACCTGACAATCAAAATGAAAGTTGACAATGCTGAAACATATACAAATATACCA